CGAGAAGCCTGCAAGCGCCCGCGTGCCTCGAGCTCTGCAGACCTGGCTCCGAGCTCCCGGGGAGAGGAGATGGGCCCTGGACCGAGGCCCCGAGGTCCCGAGGCCCCGAGGGTGAGAGGATCACAGGGCACCTGCTGGCCTTGGGGACCGCACCCTCCCCCAGGACGGTCCTTCCCCACGGACGGTCCTCCCCAGGACGGTCCTCCCCGGGACAATCCTCCCCCGGGATGGTCCTCCCCCAGGATGTCCTCCCCCGGACGGTCCTCCCCAGCACGGTAATGCCAGAGAACCTGGAGCAGCGTGGAACCTGGAGGATCTAGGGGTGTCAGGGCCTTTACTGCACCAGGAACCCCAGCGTCCCTCCCCCTCACCAGAGATCAGTGTCCCCCCTAATGGAGTGCGTGCTGGACCCGGAGGGGGACAGGATGTGGGGGGGAAAGCCCCCTGGAGTTTTTTTTTAAAATATATTTTTATTGATTTCATAGAGGAAGGGAGAGGGAGAGAGAGAAACATCAATGATGACAGAGAGTCATTAATTGGCTGCCTCCTACTGGGGAGTGAGCCCACAACCTGCACATGTGCCCTTGACTGGAACCGAACCCAGGACCCTTCAGTCTGCAGGTCGACGCTCTATCCACTGAGCAACACCGGCCAGGGGTCCCCCGCCTGGAGTTTCACTCCACCCAGAGGTCCGGGCTGAGAAAGCCATCACTGCCCCTCGAAACAGCCTTGGGGTCCAGGGTCTGTTCTCAGAAAGCCCTGGGTCTCCTGTCTGCAAAGAGCAGAAGCTGTTGGTTCTAGAAGGAGCTCTGAGCGTGAGTAGGGTCCACGCCACTTCCCTCCGGCTCCCCCAGGTCCCTGCGGAGACCCCCGGGGCCTGGGGCGCTCAGGCCCTCCTGCCAGCAGCACCCAGGAAGCACGGGTCCCCGGGTTTAAAGGGAAGAGGAAACAGCGCTCCCGGCCCCGTAGATGGTTCCCAGGGCAACTGCCCCCCACCCCCCAGCTCCCCAGCCCCCCAGCCCGGGGGCAGGTGCCACCTGAGGGGGAATAGTGCCTGTCACTGACAGCGCCTTTCTTTTGTGGAGAAGAGAGACAGAAGGGATCAAACTGAATCACAGCCACGGAATCTCATTAAACTCTTCTTGGGGGAAAAGAGTTCAGTAACAATTCCAAGGGGGAGCAGCAAGAAAGCTGCAGCCCGGGAGCGAGGGGGCGGAGCAGCGTGCTCCACTGGAGGCAGTCAGGGGGGGCGGCAGCTGGGCTTCCAGAGAGTCTGGGCTGGGACCCTGCGGAGCCGGGGGAGGGGAGATTGGGGGGGGCACATAGGCCCTTCCTCTCAGGATGCAGGGAGCTCGGCAGCCACAGGGCCCGCCAGGGCCGTGGGG